ATACACATAAAAGAATTTGTACTACGACAGGGAAATTTGAACTTTCTTATTGACTCAGATTTCTTTCATGAATATTATAAAGTATATAGCGACGAATAAAAACTTTTTCCGAATCCTTGTTCGCAGAAATTGCCTCTACCCAGACATAAAATTATTGATTTTATATGTAATTGAACAATTTTGTTAACTTTATATTTCGATTTTGTTTTGAAATTGAACGATTGATTTTATTACCTATTTTATTTCGATAAACCCTCCCGAGAGGTTGCTGGTTACCTTTCAGAAACTCGCCTATACATACAAAAAAGACCACCAGGTTTCACCAGCACTCATTAGGTATGCCGGAAATGCGGCCTAATTCCGCCTCTGTAACGAACCTAAGATTTATCGTATGCCTTCTAGCGTCTATAAATCCGTCAAAATACGCATAAAACCAATTTATTCAAAATTGTATGCATAATGGGTGGACGGGAAAGAAGATCGAATTAGATACAAGCCAGAATTTTATGCTGTAGGCGTGCTATTAGCTCTGTCGGCTGCCCATATAACTGCGATTATAGTGAAAATATCTTACATACCCTACAATTTAAATAGAGCTATCGCGATGAATCCCATGTGAACGAATGGGGAATATTCAGTGGATTGGGTAGGAGACCTACTCAATGAGACGATAGGTGGCGCTTTTGGGGCAGCGGAGCCTTATCAATCACGTCGTAAGGCGCCTAGAAAGAGCTCTCAACTCCAGAACTCTTCGCCCACCATCTCGTCGGACGTGGAGAGACGTTTTTGATACGACACCATTATCGTCATTCTACGATTTTCATTCCCAAAGTGCACCTCACTCCAAAGCAGCCAGTTTTCTTTCTGATCCTATCGTATCTTCCATAGGATTACGCTCTTGCATCCATTTCCAACTCAACTCTTATCTTGACCCTTTCCGGCAATGTCTTGTGGAACCGTTATCAATCTCTAGACCAGCGCGACTAGTTCCCTCAGAATATGATCAAACACAGTCACTTCTGGAGATATGCCAGAAGATCGCATTCAAATTCCAGATAGAATCACCCAAAGTGACGAATGAAACACTTAATGTTGGTCTGTAACTTTCTGAGAGGCGCCACGCATATCCACATTCCAACTAAATTTCAGTGACACTTTCTACACCCTATATGACGACGTGTGCCGTCGGTGGCACCAACGCTCTTCAATTCGAACGAACTGCGGGTTTTTCGGGTCTATTGGCTTTTCACTTCCGAATAACCCATTTACATTATCGAATCCCAAATCATACAAGATGCTCTCAAAGAAAGTAAAATGCTTGGAGAGCTTTTAACAAAGATGTGAAAATTTGAAAAAGAAAGGAATAACGGCAGGTTCGTCAAAGGTATAATGTGGAGTTGTCCTACATATACGAAGACCATCGAATAATAAGCATGACCTTTTTCCAGAAAATGACCTCCTACCAACTCCGAGCCGCGAATGAGTCCGCACTATCATAGTCCACCCATGGCGCCACGCGAACGGGATAATCTTTCGAATAGGAATTCAAATGTTATAAAGTCGTGCACTCCTGCGATACAATTGTCAGCATCTCCTTGTTATTTTTTGGGTTGCACATTCAGTTCTTTCTGACATAACAGGGAAGATGGGGTCGTTGGCATTGAAAAAAAGAAAAGGAATTTGAGAGAGAATTGTTAGGAAGATAGGAGATAGGTTAATAGATAGTGAAAAAGCATGTGTGGGCCGCTTGACAAACCCATGGATCCTCTATGGTTTGTAGCAGGGTGAACATTTTGAACCATCCGGCCGCCGAATCCTGGATTAAAGCCTGCATAAGCTTATTAGGGGTTTCACATCGCTTTATAGTCGCAATTGAAGGCAAGAATCAGGATTAAATTGATGGTTTCCACTCAAATGTGAAAGTAGGGATGGGAGGTGGACCGCCAGTGGAGAAAAAAGGAAAGAAAATCCTGAAATACACAGGAAATACGAGCATTTTGCTCCATGCTGTGGAGAAGTTCAAAAGACAGGCAGGGAGATGAGAGATAATGTGAGGTGGTAGAGAAGTCCGAGAAGAGAGAGCATAGCAGATCAACGTGGCGACGCAGACAAGATATCGAACGGTGGGCGGACCATGTTAAGTTTGGTGGAGTCTGTTAGAAGTCCATGGCGCCTAGGGTCCTAGTGACGCGTTTCGATGTAGAAAGGTGGCGCTACCTTTGCACTTGCGTACCCAGCACTTCTAGCCATGGTAAGGGCTTCTTAGGTGGGTCTGAGCCCGAACTTTGCCTTTAAGCACCAAACCGCATAGTAGGATAGAAGTGGTGATTTGCATACCGGATAATCTCTGCAGTTGATTGCATGGGCAAAATACACATAAGATACTTACGAACAAAGTCAAATGCGCGCTGCCTAAGAGGGTTGAATTATCACCAACTCTTCATTATTTATTCCATTTTTTTATAGAGTGGATTCCAGATCTTCCACCTATTTCCAGTTCCACCTATATTTTTCAAGCGGTTATTACATTTTATCTGCATCTTCAAGGAATTTCATGAACATTTTGCGCCGCCCACCTAACCACCACTACTTTATGGGAAGGTGTCCTCAACTTTTTACTCTCACATATCTTCTGCGAGTTCATTGCGAAAACATAATTCATATCAATTGATTACAGGTCTCCTTAACACCGGTTCGCTTTCATGTATGTACGATCTGTTACGTCCGCGACGCAGTTGGAGGGGTGCAAAATACATCGCCGTGACATACATACATATCTTACGGGGAATTAAGGGTTTGTTCACATAAATGTATGAGCTAACAACAGATTCTTCCGCTTCTTTGTTTCGAGAAAAATACTCTATTTGCTATTGTATGAACTATCGGAGTTCACAGGGCTCTGCTCCAATTCGTAGTGATGATGGTTGCTAAAAAATAGAGTTTTCCTCAAAGTTTCGACAGGATGACGGTTGGTGGATAGATTTGCTCGCTAGCAATTCCACCTTAATAAATGTCTCATTGATTGGCTATCTATGCTTGTTCCAATAGACCGATAGGTATCATTTAAGAGAACTTGGAGAAGAAAAGTGCCACATCATGGCGAAATAGCTTGATCTTTCTCCTCGATGCCAGCAGCTTTCTGCTTTATGGCTTTGGAGCGGACAAGTCCTTTTTTCACATGATTGCTCACACATCAATTTTCTTATACGCCTTGGCAATTGCACAAGTTGACCACAAACTCAGAATTATCCAGTGGGCGGAGCGTACTTTCCACGAAATGGGCGGGGTTGACCAGTCAGCGTCGTCGAGAGGCGGGACGACGAGATGCTGCCGTTGATGGGGTTCAGTCGAGTTTCCTCGTCGCACACACAGCAATGCAACGTCTGTTAGTGATCTTCGTCGCAATGCTTGCCGTTTTGGTCAGCTGTCAGAGGGAACAACTCGCACCCGAGGTACGGTTTCCAATGTTGGCCAGGCGTTGCCATCTCCAGCTCTTTTCATATCTGCTGGCTTTCACTATTTTCTTCAACAAAATTATTCATTTCGATGTGGCCATGTCAAAATGGTGACCGCAGGTCGTACTTCCATCCTACTTAGGCCTCGAGTATATAAGTCCACAAACTTAGGAATTTCTATTCTGACCAGGGGAAAATGCGCCTGAATATCAGCCGCTTGAGATCCTTCACACCGTTTACAGACTTGCACCATGCACATTGTTTCCATTCGACTGGTCCCTTCCATTCTCGCTACCAGCGCGTCCTTCTTCTCCCTAGCGTTAGTCCCGCGCAGTCGCAGGGTCCGCTGTCTTTATCAGTCGTCGCCACTTCGCTCTGTCTAGGGCATCTTCTGCTGTGGCCGTGATTTACTTAGATCCTTCTTGATGACGTCCCTCCACCTCTTCTTTGGGGCACCTCGTCGCTTGCCTTGCGCTTCGAAGTCCATCCTGTATCCTTATCGGGTGGTCCTGTGGCCTCCTTAGCACATGTCCACAGCTACCAACGCGCCATGCGTTTGAATTTTGATCAAAATCGCAAAGTTGATTGAAGGAGTGGGTGGTCTAGGCCATGGCTCGAAATATTTCCTCGTTGCCGAGAGTGCGTTTTTACCTCCTCAATGGCAATCTAATCCGCTGCCAATTATCCACCCTTGGCAAGGCGAAAAATTTGCAAAGCTGAGCTGAGGAACTGGAAAAAGTCTGTATGTGAGCATAACAAAGTTTTCAGGGTGCCACATTCAGATAGTATAGTAATCGAATAGGAGCTTTTCCTCACACTTTTTCTAAGAAAATTTGGCACAGCCGGATGTTGTTTGAAGTGGGTGACATTGTGAGCATTGAGATTCGATTTACTGACTGTTGTCGACACTTCAATAGCATCGTTATCCATCGTTGTTGTCTTTCGGCAACACAGACGCGCAAAAGGCGCGCTAGACGTGAAAAATCAGGGCATATTTGAGCTATTGTTCGACTTATCCTCTTTTTCGGGTCCACGCTGCTTCACAAAAATCATGTCACTTTCCTTCCGACAACTAATAGGGCGCCTCACAAAGCATTTGCAAGATCAGGTCCCGATGAACACCTGCCATTATGAATTCGCCTTGGTCTAAGCTCTATGTACCTTTTTCTGCGATCACTTCCTGATCCAAGTTGAGTGAAGGCACCTGAAGCTTGCCTGGTAGCATCCTACCACGCGAATGATCTCAGCACCTCACAAAGTTGCCAGCACGATCTCGACTGGCGATTGTAGTTCTGTTCAAAGCCAGCGAAAGAGTTGCACACTGAACGCTCACTCACCTACTTCATCGCCCGCCGAACAATTGTGCCACCACCGCCTATTTCAAGCCATTAGAGAGAATGACCTTCATTCTCAACCTGCAGGGTACCTGCTTGCCAATTGTTGCATTGTCAATCAATGGTCATTTTGCTATACGAAGTCACCTTTTTGTTAGTTCCGACGACGCTCACTCGGCAAGTCCTACCTATAGTTATAGCTGAGCACTGAATGATTGCTCGTACTCTACCTCCCACAACTGTGGCACCACATCCTTCTTTACGTGCACCTGCCTCTACCGTAAGCCACTGGTCCTTCGGGGAAGTCTATCGGGTTGCCATGCTCATTTCAGATGATGTGTACACTCACGCATGTGTCTTGGGATGGTGAGCTTGAATCTGGCTTCCGAATTTCCTGAACGATACGGATGGTGGTTTTACCACGGAGGTCCTGTTCTTAAAACTTTCGAGAACCAAGGTGGCGTGCCTCTATGGTGCAGCTGGTAAGCGATCAGAGTCGCAGAAGCAGCACCACGTTGGAACCCTCGATGCATACATTTTCTTCGCTTTGCCTTGAAACTTGTTCCAAAGGTTTGCAAAAGAAATGAATTCGGTGAAATTTTTACGAAAATAGTAATTAGGCAAGTTAGGCAAGATTATGTCATGACACTATTTTACGCCCCCCTCCCCCCTCCCCCCCGCTTCGACGGTCATTGTAGAGGGAAAGTGGGCGGACGTCGACTGGTCTCAGAAGCAAGTACTATAGAAACAGCCGTGATGGCGTGATGGTGAGGGTGGTGGTTGAAGAAGGGGTAAGGGGGATAGCAGTGGATGAGCCTTTAAGATTGAGTGTTGGTGGTAGGGGGGGGAAGAGGGTCTCACCCGAGTCCCCCTTGAAGGGAGGGGGGTCGCTAAAATTTTGGAAAAGTACGAAGGAAATGAATATTTTCCTTCATCAAATACGTCACCAGCATCTGAGAAAGGAATTTGGGACTTGTGAAATCATCTTAGAAGTAGGGTGGGGTAATAAAAGAGAGGTTCATCTTCTTTTGCGTGATGCTATACACGACAAGCTTACTGTCGATGCTCACACTGGAAATCTTTTCTGCTTCACCCTTTTTGTACTAGATAGCATTTGCTCAGCAAGTCCTTCTTTTTTTCGTCGTAGTGATAAGTGCATTGAATTACTTCTGGGAACCCAATCGCTTACTTGTT